CGTCTTGAACTTTCGCATGGAGGACAGATTCCCGTAGACGAATGTTTTCTACAAATTTGAATTCATTTTTATCATTTTTATTTCAGCAACCACCCTCCTTAACTTCGTTACTTTCTCTACATCTGTAACGGTAACTTAACTCAGTTATATTTTTTCGACAACTAGTAACTAATTCAATGGTTACATTAGTAGTTACTTTATATACATTTTAAGGCTCCACAGGTCGCATTAGGCCTTGCATTACACAAACGCCTTTATCGACGCTTTTACAATTCAAATGCTGCAGATTTGATGTTTTTATTTTCATCGCAAGGGAGTAACCGCAAAGTAACGATTTGTCACTTTTCGAGTAACTGTAACTAGTTACATTTTTAGCAAAAAAAAACTGTAACTAGATACTTTTATAAAGTAACTTTCCCAGCCCTGTATAAATACAATTTTCTCGCGTAACGTCACCTTTAACCTCTCGTACTTATTACTTTACAGTATTTACCGTTACATAAAACGAGCGCTTCTTATTTTTAATTGAAAAATGAACTTCGATTTGACTCTACGTTAAAAAAATCCTTGACTCGCACGTCTCCAATATATTAAAGTAGTACATTATATCCCGAACGAACGCGTTGTCATCTCGATTCACGCCGAGCGCGTTGCATGAAAAGCGAATAAAACAGCGAACAAAGACGCGGGCGACATTTGTATTCGAGTAATCGCGCGTTCGTACGGAGGGACGCGAGGATACGGGCGCTTCGCAGCAGCCTCTCATATGGAGACGTCGTTAGGAATATCCTCGCGTGCCGACGACACCGCGTTATTCGCGTTGCTGGTGGCGAGGTAACGGTTCGAGCCGGCTGGGCGATCGTTAATTAACGTTTTGTTACTCGACATCGATCACGTCTCCGCTCGCCGATTGGTAACGGTGATTCCCTTACGAGAGGACCTCGACTTTACGTTTTGGTGTATGGTAAATACCGCGCGGAGGCCTCGGCGCGCCTCCGGCCTGACCTTCGTTTTTCGGCCGTTGAAAAGGAAGCAAAGGAACCGCAGCGAGCTCCGCTGGCGAGGCTCCTCGCGAGAGGCTCGCAATAAAAATATCTGGAATGTCGGCTGTGTGAAAAGAAAAAAAGGGGAACGGGGAGATGAATGGAAATAAAATTGAAACGGTGTCGTCCTCGGTGACGGAGACCGCCGCTCGAGAACTCGCGGCGGGAACGCAGCTGCGGGGAAGTCCCGCGACGAGATTCGCCCGAGCGTCGAGCGATCGATCGAGAACGCGCCACGACGGAGAACCAAAACGTTCGATGTGAATGACGAAAGGAAGCGCGGGGCGAAAATTTCAGCCCAAGCGCGTTTCGGCACGATAGGTGCGACATAGGCGTTGACCTTCGTTTCGGTCTCAACAAAGGAGACGAGAGAGAAAAAGGAAATAGTTAAGGAAGCGGGAGTAGACGCTCGATAATTTTCTCTCGTGGGCACCGCCGGCTGGCAGTTTCTACGATATCGCTCGCGAAGCCGTTATCGGGAACGGGATCCGCGGGGATTTAATGGATAGAGGCGAGCGAAGTGACAAATGCGAAAGCAAATCGGTCCCTGCCCGACGTGCGGAAACTCGTGCGAAAGTATAATCGTTCGTAAAATGGCGCGCGAAATAGCGCGGGCTGGAGAGATATATCTCTCTGTGTATCGAAATAGAAGTAAATATTCGATCGTAAGTGGAAGATTGGAGCATCGGATTGCGGAGAAATATGAGAAAAATTATTGATCGGGAAATCCCCGATGGAAATATTTTGCTAACAATCAGTGTTCACTGTTATCTAAATAAAATTATATAGATGATTATCCAGATAAAATTTTAGCGTTATCTTATCTACGTTAGCGATCAATGTTCAGTTGTGCCATCACTAGCACACGCTTCCATATCTTATCTTTAATTAGTTATCTTACCTTTATATAGACAATAAAAATAAGTATTATCTATATCTGCATCTTAGATAAAAGAAAGTGTTATTTTTACTAAATTATCTAAGATAACGTACAGATAATTTGGTTTAAGGCCACATAAAAATACTTAACAATTACACTATTTAAATATGGATGGTGTTGTAGACCATGCATTTATCACATTTATGTGTGTGTCATATAACTTATAACCTGAATATATTCTATGTATATCCTCCTTTATAATTTAAATTTTTCTATAATTTTTTTATAACTTTTTCTACTGTGTTTACATGAAGTCTTAAAAATATTATCTGAAAATTATCTAGATGAATCATCATATAATTTTATCTTTTATCTAGATATATTCAAAACGAAATCATCTTTATCTTATCTAAGATAAATTTATATATTTTTATCTTATCTTTATCTAGCTAATTTTAAAATCATCTATGCACAACACTGCTAACAATACGATACAGTTTTCCTGAAGTGCGTTTAAATGTCTCTCTCAATTGACATTTCGTTATTATTCGATATCTCTGTAAAAATAGCTCTGCGATAATCGTTTCAAAAGTAGTGCAGTTACATTCAGTCGATTTCATAATATTTTTATTACTTTTCAACAGTACTTTAACACTATTACTTAACTTTCTTTTCCACACTTCATAGTATTATATTATATTGAATTTCACGAGAAAATTCGATTCATTTTGAAAGACATTTGGTAATTTTTTATCTCACATCTCACTCACAGGATTTTGTAGTGTAATATTTCTATCGGGGACTTCGCTTTTAAAGGCAGTAAGCGGATCATTAAAATAAATGCAGAAGATCACGAAGAGTAACTCTCCCGGAAATTAATATATGAATATTTCCGGGAAAGTTGCTCTCTGTCGCGCGGGACTTCTCTGAACTCGCGACTCTCTTTGTCCAGTCCAAACTCGTTGACATTTTTTCGTGGGGTATCGAGGGACATGTAAATTATACACTCATCTCTGAATTTACGCGGTACTTTTTATACACGATCAGAAAATATATCTTTAAAAGACACGCTGCTGATGGAACTACTGAAGTAAAAGTATATCGAACTTCTAGCGACGGTAACGTCGAACCAATGAAAAGGAAAAGGTAGCGACAGGGGCAGCGATTAAAATTAAAATTTGTTTTCTTGGACTTTCATTGTTGTTCTCACGCAAATATGTGAAATTAATGTTTTTACAAATAGAGGCCGTTAGAGATCAGGATCGTTAAAGATCATAAGAAACGAGAAGCCTATTACCCTAATACCACAGGAATATTTTAAAAGATTCAATATATTTAAAAATATTTATAAAGTATTTTAAAAAGATTTAAAAATATATTTAACCTTTTAAAATATTTCTGTGCTATTAGGGTAGGTCCAAGGCAAGATGTAGACAGCCAAATAATTTTTAATATGCGCATATTAATATCTTAATATTTTTACAGCGCATAGTGTCTCTTGCGGTTTCTTTCCGTGCCGCATTTACACTATTCTCAACCGCGTAAAGAAACGCGCCCAGTGAGAACACTAACGACGAATCGACGTCGATGGGGTTGAAACCGCGTCCCAGCCGTCAGTTTTTGAAAGTAATTAAGTTTTGGAACTTTATTTTTTGCATTAAGATAGTTATTTCGTAAAATCATTTATGTGACAATTGTTTCTAATTTTTACAGTTTATTCTTTACATTAATACGTGCAAAATAAGGCTAATTAAATTAAAATTGACCGTCTCAAAGTTGATGGGGTCGACGTCGATGGGGTCGAGCCGCGTCCCAACCGTCAGTTTTTGAAAGTAATTAAGTTTTGGAAATTTATTTTTTGCATCAAGGTAGTTATTTCGTAAAATCATTTATGTGACAATTGTTTCAAATTTTGACAGTTTACTCTTTACATTAATACATGCAAAATAATGGCTAATTAAATTAAAATTGACCGTCTCAAAGTTCTAAAAAAAACAATGTTAAAGTTTGCTATGTTACACGAAATATTACGTGTAAAACACGTTAAAAATATTATCACACGTAACAATATAATTCGTTGTAATATTATTACACGTGAAATATTATTTGCACATATTATTATGCGTTAAAATATTAATATTTGCGTTTGCAAACGCAAATGATCAAATATGTTATAAAGTAAAATAGAACGAATAACTGGAAGTAAAATCAAGATGCTCGGCCATTCCGTTTCAACAATGTAAACAGTTAAACTGAAAAATGGGAAGAATTACCTATGCAGTGGACACGAGTGTAGTGTAAGAGATGTGGCAACAGCGCCTCAAATTATAATCTTTCGAATCTATTTTATATTATGTATTAATCGTAAGGGTATTTTTTAGAACAATATTGGATCAAGATATATCATTGTAATAATTGAATGCTGGTTCCTGCCTGAAAGAAACCTTTGAGCACTACTGTCGCGAAACAACTACCTTAATTAAATTACTACGTTCTGAATACTTTTAACATCTTATTACAGAGAGAACTGCCAGGTTAACTTATTTAATACAAATAAATTTTCATACAAAATGTAATACAAAAAACAAAGTTCTAGAATTTTTAATTGCTTCGTTAAAATTTGACAGTTGGGACGCGGTCTCGACCCTATTGACGTTGATTCGACATTGCCTCGACGTTAGTGCTCTCGCTGGACATGAAACGAATACTCCGCATAAATCGAAAGTCGACTGTATTTGACTCACGCTGCACCGAGCTTCTCACGTTTCCGCTGGAGCACACACAGTATACCTCACAATTGTTATTAATTTATTAAAATCCGCAAAAATCTTTATCTATGCAATTCGATCTGTGTTGCACGAGGCCTGTTATCTGTTTTCAAAGAAGACAGCGCAATCTCGGAACAATCGGCTGTCAGAGCTGTGAGAAACTAATTGTTATAGACAGCGTGGTATTTAAATGCTCGATAAAGGAAGCCGGCAACCAAGTCAGAGCTGTCTCTCTGGCTTCGAGTTTTTTTTTTATCGTCTTTATCAATCACGTCTATTGTAATCGTGACGTTTAACAATGGAAATTACCGATACGTCGCGAACAGGATCCACTGACCGATCCGAGAGTCGAATCGAGCGCGCGGCCACGCGTCGATTTTACGCGAGCGTTCCGTTGGAAATCGCGATGAGACGAGATCCTCACCGACTGATTCGAAGACACTGCTCGGAGATACACGAACGGAGTCCGCGGAGACTCACCGTAGAGAATGCGGGGCAATATTCTCTCGCGAGAAAGAGCGGACAGAAGAGGAGGTGGACTCACCTGCGCGGCGGAGAGACACTTCGGAAAAAGCGCGGACGAAGCCGCGGGCTTAAGCTCATATATACCCACAGGTGGGCCTCGTTAGAATTCAGATGCACGGGCCCCCGCACGATTGGCTGGTTCGTCGACCCTGTGCCCCCCGTTGACGTCCAGGAGCGCCGGCGACGATGACGAGGGCGATCGCGATCCATCATCGCCGGCTCGCCACTCTCGTTTTCGTCAAGAGTCCCCTCTCAGTTTTCCAATGGCAATCAAACTCGGCTTCCTGTCATCTAAATTTGTATTAGATTTTCGATTCTTAAGTCTGCGAGAAGCGCTCGTCGAAAGCGCCGTGTTTTCTTACTTTACGTTTAGTACTGTGTAATATTATATATATTTATATATATGTATAGTACTTATATATTTATATTGCAATAATAATATTAGACAGTAAAATAAATTTATTACATTTATTTTAGTATTTTTATATTATTTTTATATATAATACAAATATACATTTAAATTACATATTTATTATATTATATGTTGTACACATATTAATATAGTCAAATAATATGTCGAACTTTTCGAAGCCTTTGCAGGCCTCCAAGTCCCAGGATGCATGAAATTTGAAATATTATAATGATAACAACAGTTAATGATGTCTATTTCAATTGTTTCTGTGATGATTAGAAAAATATATTTTTCTAAGCACGCAGGAATATATCGGTAAAAAATGTTTCATGCCTGAATGAATAAATAGACAGAATTATACAAAAATGTACATCCAATATGTATGGACATATTTCATGTATAATTTTATATAGAGAAAAGTCTCCTATTATAGGGTAGGCTTCTAATATGAGATAGCGGGGTTTCTGCTCAATTAGTAGACATCGTTTGTTGAAAAAGAATATTCTTCTTTGGAAAATATGTTTAATTTCCACGTGAAAATCTTGAAATGGGATTATATTGCATTAAAGGAAGAAAAACTTACTTGATTAAAGCAATTTTATACAATTTAATCGAGAAACATATATGCTTATTACTTAAGAATAATTTTTGTTAACAACGCTCAATCGTTTTATAGAGACCGAAGCTCCTAATCGGATGCAATAAAACAGGATCAGACTTGGAATGCGCCAGTGAATCAGTGAACACATATTTCAGATAGATAGGAATAGCGCAATATATCACTGATTCAATAACATCTGTTTTATTTGACGCGTTATTGAGATGTCGTGATATGTTATTGACATAGGGAACTTCACACGTTTGACATTCAAATGGAGCGCTGTGTTACGATGCGCGTTACTTTTACCGACATTTATGGTGAGCTGTCTCAATAATCAAACCTTAAATTTGAATCGCGAAAAAGATTGGCAGCCTACTTGAATTTCATGCGTACAATAAAAACTATTCAATTATTTGTCGCCTAAAAAAATTTCTCTTAGAAAACCTCTACAGTTCACATTCAAAAAAAATTGAGAACCGTTGTCGCTGTGACGTTTTGCGAGAAAAATTGTCTCTAAACCCTGGTTAAAATATTTAACGGAAAGTATAATGAAATTTGGCTGAAATGTATTTTGAAAATTTCTCTCTCAATTGATTCCGTTTTTATTACTTCTTCAATATTTCAGTGAAAATTTAATATCAAAAATTCTTATTATATAAAAGCTTTTTCTTGAAAATAACACAATCTTCAGTTAAATTTCGCTATAAATTCCTAATATTTCATAATGTTTATTACCATTCAACAATATATTTAAACTCTATATTTCACAGTATTGAATTTTACAAGAAAAATTATAATTTATTTTGAGATATATTCAATAACTTTTTAGTAACTTTTTATATAGTACTTTCAGTAAAATATTTTTATTAGGAAACTAATTGTAAAATTAAACAGATACACAATTTTTTCGAAAACTCGACATCGAGGAACAGTTGAAACAAATGTAAGCGTATGTACTTATGTGTGTAAAGTAGTGCAAAACTGTCAGCGTCGCAGACGAAATTAATAAGCATACACGGAGAGAAGTTTCTTTTAAGGGAATCCTTTAGCCATCTTTTTTTACCGACACAGTCAAATATAGTTTTTGCCCTTGTAATTCTTTTTATTAGCTTTTATACACAAAATAATATCAGGATAAATAGCGGATTGCATAGCAGAACATTTTCACACTAAAAACACTCAGTTCAGAAGTCTAATAAAAAAGATATTGGTATTTGAAATTTTCAATTCGTAGTTCTAACTAACTTTGAAATTGGCTTCATAAAATTGCAAAATTCTCCCACGATTAAAGTGCGCATAAAGACAAAACCAGGAACACTCATCTTTATATTAAAAAAACAAAGATAAATTAAAACTATCACTTTATAAATGATTGCTAACCTCAATCATTTCTAAAGTGATAGTTTTAATGTCTCTTCGTTTTTTTTATATAGAGCATGACTGTTTTAAGTATGAAAATGTTCTGCTATGTGGTCCGCAACTTATCCTGGTATTATTTTGTGCATAAAAGGTAATAAAAAGAATTACAAGCGTAAAAACTATATTTGACTGTGTCGGTAAAAAAAGATGGCTGAAGGATCCCCTTAAAATATATCCTGAAAATCATGTAATTGTGGGACAACACGGCATTTTGAAGAATTTTATGAGATTTTTAAAATTTTACCGTACATTTTACTAATGATTATACTTAGTACACATTTTACTAGTATAACTTATGGTAAAATTTCCAAAAACTTTCATAAAGTTCTTCGAAATGCCATGCTGTTCCACGATTATATTATTTTCGGGGTAAATTTTGAGAGAAAATTCTCTCCGTGTAGTAGCAAGAAATAACAGGAACGTTAATAAGAATAAAAAAGGCAGATACACGTGTGCAATTCAATGAAGCTTTCGTTTAACCGTTATTTAGCAAGGCCACTGCGACATCGTGTTATTGACGTTACTTTCGATCTTTCGGCTCGAAATAATCGAGAGATTATTGATATTCTTTACAATCATCTGACGCGTAATCAAACAGCGCTAATGCAGCTGTTAATATAACCGGAGCATCGGCGCGTTCAATTATACCGTGTGCAATTATGCGCGAACAATCGCACCTTGGCCGACGCAAACGAGCTAGGATTAGCGTGATCACGAATTTCTCAAGGGTGATCTCTGAAACTGCAGTGGCATTTCTCTATCCCGTGAGAGATGTAGGCGCATGTTGTTTGCTCGTAGCGCTGCACGCTTATCTTTGCAAGCTTCGAGGTGTTAATTAACGTTGAGCTGGAAGGTGTTAATTAACAAATGAATAATATCTAATTTAGATTAACGAGAAACACGAAGGGATTAATAAAGATCGAATGCAGAAACTCTTCCGCGGCTGTTTGCGCGCTCAACATTCGGGCGCTGCGTTTGATTCGACTGAAACGCAGGCGGGACTAATATTGGCACAAGTGAAGTCATTTCGCAAAATATCAATTCGCGACACCTGCTCTCTTGTTGGTGAAGCGCTCTTTTGGCCCCCGCGTTACATCGATGCACGCTCGATTTATATACAAGGTTGCAAAAGATTAAGCTAATAACAGAGAAATTGCTTGAAATAATTTATCACAAATAGATTGAGCTGGTAAGACTGGGTGTTTGCGAATTTTACGATTTTCACGACCTTCCTCGTAACTTTTACTTCACGACCTGCCTCACAAATTGTCTCGATAAAAATGATAAATAATTATCATTTTTGCATCATATAAGATGCAATACTCGCTAAAATTAAAACCTAAATCTCTACAAATCTTTCGCTCGCGGGAAAAAGAGAAACGAAAATGCGAGAGTAGTTCCGCGGATTCTTTCGCAGGCCATCCTCGAGTTCTAATTCTCGTGAACGAAAAATAGTGACGTACGATGGTCTGGTGTGCGCAAATGCTGCGAAAGTCAGATTGCAACCACACAGCGAAATGATGAACAATGAGACAACGATAATAAATGAGCTAGACAACAGATATTTGGAATTTTATTTTTTAATATCGTCTCTTTGGCAGGATTCATCGTATCACTTAATCACACTTTTGTAAAGCTCTTCATTTCATTAATTAAATGCAAAATAAACATTTAAATCCGCTGACAATTTAAAGTAGATTAATTTTAGATGAGCTTAGGCAGTTTCTGACATAACGTTTCATACATATTTGACGTAATACGCATGTATATTATGGGTGACGTAAAAAACCCTAGAATTTATCAAATATCCCGACCGGGGGCATCCCGGTGTCAATCATGATCCGCGATCCTCGGGATTTCGGGGCGTGCGGCGTGCTTGAATTGTCCGCTAAAAAATTTACGTGTCCGTTCGCGCGAGAACGGAGAACGACAGAGGGGAGGGATCAAACAACGCATAGGTGAAGAGTCTGTTTGCTTTTTCACCTCTCTTGACTTCATATTCAAGAGCGAGTTTTTCCCCCCCTTTTTTTAGCGTCAACCGTCAACTCGCGCATTGTTAATGTTTTGACTCGCGTTCCTTTCCCTTTTCTTTCCTTTTTCCACGCACCGTCTGCCAATTACGGCGGCAAGGAACAGAAACGAGTCGTTTTAGCGCGATTTTACATTCTTAATTCCGCGTCGATTCGCGGGGAAGGAAAATCACGTCTAGATGTTATTGATCACATTGCGAACCCGATCGATTGCGGTTTTATTGACAATTTAATTTGCGGATGTTTTAAGCTTTTCTACTTTTGCATGATGAAGGCCTGAATGTCGGGTTTTGCATTTTATGAATTGTTTAATAAGAACGTAGCATAAACAATTTGGTTCTCTTTAGCCCATATCCCGAACTCTCTTTTATCAATAAACCCGATAAAAATTT